CCATTTAACGCACCACCAACATCGTAGCTAGTGCGTAGTTTAACTTGTAATTTGCTTCAGATTTAACTTTTTTGGACTAAGCAAATTTTGAAATTTAGAAAGTAAAAAGGGCTACAAAACAATATATAACATAATTTGGTTTTCAAAAAAATTTCGTACATTAAGAGAGAGGTGAGAAATAGGCGGCGTTTTAGATCGCCACCATAACCACCGTCGCTCACGTTGTTTAGCTTGTAGCTTGCTTCAAGTTGGACATTTTTAACTGATTTTAAATTCGCAATGTAGGAAATTAAAAAATCTTTAAGATAATATACAATGTGTCTAGTTCCTAACCACGACTTTTGGAGCAGGACTTCTTTAATCAAGATCATCAAATTGGAGTAAAAACTCAACCCCTGATTATAAGTGGTATTTCCCAAGAAGCTCTATATCAAAATATATTTTGTTATATACCATTTTGAATTGTTTTTTTAAGTTCTAGCTTTCCCAATTTACTACGTTCGAATATTTTCAGTTTGAAACGATTTACAAGAAGAAATGGGAAAATGTCAAGTAGAACTCTTTATACCACATTTTCCCAAAGTTCCTTATATCCAAACTAGTAGTGTTGTATATCAATTTGTAGAGTGTTTCAAGCTTTGTTCATTTCAATTTATTATATTTGAAAATTCAGATTTTGAAGGGTGTTACAGAGGAAAGCGTATGTGACATCATTATGCTCCAAAGGAATGCCATTGGCAGTTTTCCATGACTCATTTTTCTTGTTTACTCTTACTTGTTTGATTATTGGTCATTATCCTAACGTTTTTCAGATCTTGTAATTCACTTTCTCTCGAAGATTCTTTTGAGATGTTCAGTAGGACCGACGAACGAATTGTCAAATGCCATTGGTTAGTTCCAATCGACACCGAAATCCATTCGATTGTGTTCAAACAGGACATGAAAACCGGCTACTCGGATTTGAAGGTCGACAATAAGGTACTAATTTTTATAAAATTTGGCACGTTTTTGTAGTTTACAACTTTTTGATAGCTTTCGCGGTTCTTGAGTTATGCGCCTTTAAATTTAGCGCACGTTTTGAAGGGGGTAGGAAACTTTAAAGGCGCATATCTCAAAACCATCAGCACTATCATGATGCTACAAATTTCTGAATTACTCAGCATAAAACTTTACACATTTTTGTAGTTTACAACTTTTTGATTACTATAACGATATAAGCTCTGAGGAGACGCAGAGAAGCGAGCGCGTTATCCCTTCTCTGCGTCTCTTCTTGACTTCAAAGGCGCATATCTCGAAATCTAGCGTTTCTATCAATATGTTGTTAATTGTAAAAATGTGTAAAATTTTATTCTACACATTTTTACAGTTTACAACTTTTTGCTAACTATTGTAGTTTTTGAGATATGCGTCTTTAAAGTTCGCACATGCTATAGGGCGCGCTAACTTTAAAGGCGCACGTCTCAAGAGCTATGAGAACACTACAAACTACAAAAAAGTGCGAAATTTTTGTGCTGGGCAATAATATAACTATTAAAAATACCAATTTTCAGTGCATGTACCGAAATGCGAGAAAGTTGAGCTCCTGTGAAATTTTCACGGTAAGGATTTTTGGAATTCTTGGGATTTAAGATTTTTCAAACTTTCAGATCGGCCAAACCACTCTGAAAATTCTCTACGATCAACGCGTGAAGAATGGAGCATATGTGCTCGAGGTTTGGGGAAAAAATATTTGGAAAATGTTTTCAAAAAATCTGAAAATGATATTTTCAGATCAATGGAATACGGTTCCGCGAGTTTTGCGACGCTCAAAACCGTCGATTCGATCGTTGGGAGGTCAGAGAGAAGAACGAGACGTTCCATGTGGTCCTAGGTGAAAATTCTGGAAAAAATCCAACTTTTTAAGCCTAAACATTTTCAGACAAAACCAAATTGGTCCTCTATGTGAATAGTCAGAAGGTTTCATCGGAGGTAAATTTTCATCTTTAAAAAATCGATAATTTTTTAAATTCATTTTTAGCACAAGGACGAGGGACAGGTCACCATCACCTTCCAAATCCAAATGGCCAAGGGACCACACTCTCGTGCAAGATGCATCCAGGATTGGGACAAAATGGGTGAGCCCCAATGAAAAATGAATGAAAAATTTAAATTGGACGCGTTGAGAGCTTCAAAATGAGCCTGTACACGACTCATTTTGGCTAAGTTTGAATTTCGGTTTACTAACCGCGACGCGACCGCAACGCATTGGTCAAAATCCTAATTCCCACAAACCTCGGCTTGTAGGAGCTCATTTTGAAGCACTTGATGAGCTGAATCTGTTTAAAGCAGTAAAAGTAAATTTCTAGGAAAGTTAACCGAGTTATGATCACTTTTTGAAAAATTTTAGTTTTCTTGGTAATTTAGAATCACCCATATCTCTGTGAATTTCGACTAAACTTGTTCGAAAATAACATTTTTTTCAATTTATAACGTTGAGAGCTTTAAAATGAGCACCCACACGACTAGGCTCCGCACACTTTGAGTTTTGAGGTTAGAGACGCAGTGTGTCTCGCTTCTCTGGCGCTCTAGCCGTGAAAGTGGGCGGAGCCTATCCGTGTTCGGGCTCGTTTTAGAGCTCTTTCCAAGCTGAGTTTGGAAATAATAGTTTTGCAAAAGATGATTGATTTTCGAAAGTATTATAGTACTAAATTTTTTTTTCGAAAAATTGAAATATTACGATTTTCAGAAAAATGACTATAAATCGGTTAATTCTTGAATTGTTCTTTCAAAATTAATTTTAACTTATTTGAAATTTCATGAGCTTCAAAATGAGCCCCCACACGACTAGGCTGGATTTTTGGATTTTTTTCAAATTTTTTGGAAATTTTCGACAATTCTGTAAACTTCATTTTCTAAGTTTTCTGGAATTTGAAATCTCTAAAATTTTTCAAGTCAGGAATTTCTTTAAAAAAATTTTCAACTTTGAAAAATTCGATTTTTTCAGAATTACTCGAGGAATTTCGGATTTTCAGAAGTTCAGAAACTTCATAAGTTTCGAAATTTTTCATGGAACTCGAAATTTCCGAATTTTCGAAAGTTCTGAATTTCTCAAAGTTTTTTTTCTAAAATCCCAAAAAACCTCAAAAAATCCAAATATCCCTAAAATCTAAAATTTCCATTTCCCCCCCTGTCACATTGAC